AAGCAACCACACAATACCTAGAAGTTGTTCATGTGGTTGTTTTATCTTGTGGGGTTGTTTGATGTTACTTTTATGACGGATATAAGGTCGGAATGTCATGTCGATATAAATGTTTATATGCTGGACCTATTTTTGGTGTTGTAAGTACAGGGGAGATGGGAAAAAGAATAGGGGTTTGGTTCCAATCCAAGCTTGCTGCTTGTTGTGTTAAATAGCAGTTTTATGTGTGACATTTTTGCACTTGTTGTTGTGTAGATTGATTGGTGTTGTTGGGCTGTTGGTATATGGTATTGGAGAAGGCCCTTGTTACAGGGGAGATGCTTCCCAAATTTATATAAACGAGCTACTAGCTTAAGTTACGGACTTAGCCTTTACTCAGCACTGATTTTGAATCTCCTTATGCTATGGCAGACTAAGTTGAGTTGTTTGAAGAGTTTCTTGGAAGCTATTAAGGACTCAACGAGGTTAAGGTATGTTAAGGATAAACCTTTCCTTTATTTTGGCATGATCCCGTAACTACATGAGTTTGATAACGAGACATAAAGAGAAGTTCGTATTCCTGAACTTATGTACATTATCCTAGTCTCATAAGTTACAGTATTCTCCCTTATCGGGACTTTATATTCAGTTAAGTATTGTTTTCTTCTAGTCAAGAGAGCAGAGGGTCTATATATACATACAGTATTACAGTACTTTCACCACCATCGAGCTATAATCGATGGGTAGGCCCCTATTGGGCAGCCTCTGATCAGATGGTAAGTTATATACCGAGCCTACTGTGGCTGAACGCCTATGAGCGAGTCCAGAATACCTGAGATACAGATCCTAGTATGGCCAAGCGCGTATGAGTGAGCCTACTACGGTAGAGTAGTTATATGTACTGAGCCTTATAGGGTCGGCCAGCTATTTTATTTACTATATTGAGAGAGTTGAGTCAGTATCAACATGTAAGCATATCTTCAGATCATCTTTGACTCCCAGTTACTTTTAGTTATTATATTATCAGTTCAGTTTCAGCTTTCAGTTATTTTGTTTCCTTACATACTCGGTACATTATTCGTACTGACGTCCCTTTTGCTGGGGATGCTACATTTCATGCCTGCAGGACCTGATAGACAGCTGGATAGACCTTTCTAGCAGACAAAGTCAAACATTAGCTTGGTTGGTAAGCTCTACTCCTTCGGAGTTACCAGGTCTAGACCTTGAAGTCCATTTTATATATACAAGTTTGATGGGTAGGTCGAGGCCCTGTCCCGACTNTGGCCTCATCGGCCTAAGTTGAGGGTTATCCCTCCAGAGTTCACAGTTACAGAGTGGTACGCTCGGGCTAAATATGGTACCGGGTGCCGGCCATGCCTCCCTAGGTTTGGTCCGTGACACAAGGAGCCCCTCGAGCTAGGGTTTGGGCAAAACGCCCGGCCTCAGGAGTATCGGGGCCAAGACCCCGAGTTCGGTTCGAATCCCAAAGGCCTCGGAGAGCACTACCAGGTAATCGGGCACGACCAACAAAAGGCCGTGATGTTCGTGACCAATCGGATATCACGGCGTGGATCTCGGCACGTATCAGCAGAGAACCAGTGATTGGTTAAACAGAAGATTTTTTACCTTTTATAGAATTGTACTTAGGGTAAAACTCCCCTACTATATAAAGGGGGGTTTGATTATTCATTAAACACACTATAACACGTATATCAAGGCAATATACTCTTATTTTCTGTGTTATTCAAAGTTCTTACTCTTGTTCATAAGTGCTTCGTTAGTGTGATTTCGGGATCGAGGGCAGACATCTCATTAAGGTTGTTATTGAGTCCGGAGTCACCCTCCTTAAGTGGTTTGACAATCTATTATCTCCTTTATCTGTTTAAACTAACACAATTTATCGTTTGTATTGAATTAATCCACGTATCCTTAAAATCACATACAAATTTAATTGTTATCCGTTATTTTAGGGTAAACACACTTCTCAGGGGCTTTCATTTATGAATTCTGTTGACTGCTAATACTATATAAGTTGTGCCATGAATTATTATTTGGATGTGACTTACACAAATAAGTCTAATATTAGAGTTGAGGTTGTGTGCTTTAGTAGGGTCTTTTCCATGCTTGAACTTAATTTTGATTTTGTTGCAATTATGATCTTGTAAAGCATACTTAAATCCACCGGACATTGCTGGAATAGATGTCATGGTCTTAGTTTTTGCTACCAAGATTTATATGTCACCGTAATATTTTTATGATGGTAACCTTTGATGAAAAGCAGTTTGGGCAGACCTAGAGGACTGTTTTAGCACTGATGCAAAGTTCCTCTCTCACTATTTTAGAAAATTTTCTTACACTATCTATGAAGAGCGCAAAGATAATGGTTTTAGTTTTTCCCATTGTTGAAAATAAGGTACAAATAAACATTTGATGAGAATTTTCTTATTTACCCCATAGTTCAGAGGGAGATGATTGATATGTCATTTCACTCTAATCTGTAAGATGATAATTGCTTAGGTTTGCTCAATATTTGCTTCTCAACACATGCTTTAGAATAGTTCACATAACCAACATAAATGAAATTTCTTTGTAGTATTCACAATCCAAGCTTGTAAAACCAAGATTTAAGCAATACAACATAATGCATTTAAAATTTTCAACATGATTTTTTTTTAAGGCAAAGAAAAGTATCCTAAAGATGGGGAACGGGTATACTAATAACCAAAAGATAAATACATGTAAGAGAGAAAGGTGAAACATGATAACCTAGCTTATTTGATTTCATTGTCTGTTGTAACTTAAGCAATGGATTATATGCATTGGACTACCAGATTTTCTGATACCTTCTTGATTACTACATCATGTTAATGTCCATATATTCAAAGGAGACTATATTTCTTAGTAAATAAGGCCTCGATACGAGTTCCAAAGCTCTATGGGTGGCGCATAACCTCAGTTCTGACATTGGGCGCACAACAATGTTGGAGGCTTGACATATTCTATGACTTATGTATCGATATATTGAGCACTCCAGACATCACTCCTAGATAGAGCTAGCTTAGGTGTGTGTGACTTAGTTCGAGTGATGAGTTGAACAAGAAGTCCACACTCATGGGAATGAGTCCAGACAGAAAGACATGGGCGTGTAGCGTGACAAAAATAAGATACCTCAAACTAATTTGAGCAATGAAGCTGATTATTTCTTCTTTGTTATGCAGGCTATATCTCCCAACTCTCTGAATGAGCAAGCAGACCCCCAGCTAGAAAGAAAATCTTCAAAATCAAGCATATGGTATTTAACTTGCTAGATTTGGATCTCAATTAAATATTCACCATGAGGGGAGAGTTGTGACTCTCCATTTTCAATTTCTCATGTGATGCTTTTACAGTTTTACTTAAGGCATAATGGTTATGAAGAAAAAAAAATATTTCTGTCAAGTGCATGGATCAACTACATACATTTCTCTGATGTAAATTTAGTAAATTCTTGTGGATTTCTTTTTCAAAGGAAAAATTTCATCTCGATCTCATGTAGATATCTGTCAGGAAAGATAGGTTAAATGGGGAATAGGAGATAAAGGTGAACTCGGTCAATAAATGTTACAAAGTTCTGATAAATTCAAACACTTCATTGTGGATTAATTGATCTTTGTAAAAGAACTTACAAGATGCAGGTACCTACAAAAGTTCCATATTTCACTGGATAACAATGTTGAAGCATGTCTTCACAGGATAATCTCAAAGGAGGCATCCTATGTAACAGATACTACATGTGGTAGGCAGAAGTTGAGGACTTCCACTTATTTTTGCACTCGATCTCTAGCTAATGGTAACTGATATTTTGAATATGTTCATTATACTCATGTGCAGATTGAAGCTCTTGAAAGGATATATCATGAGTGTCTCAAACCCAGTTCAATGCATAGCCAACACCTTATTCGTGAATGTTCTATTCTCTCCAACATTGAGTTTAGGCAAATCAAAGTTTGGTATATGAGTAGAAGGTAATTGCCTAATTACTGAAATTTTATGTTTTTATTTAGACTGGATAAAGGGTTCCAACTAATTTGGAATTAAGACAGTATTTAATTGATTGGTCTTCCTTTTCTTGAGTTTAGTCGAATCCAAGTATTCTGGAATTAAGGTGTGAATGGAAAGCTGTCAGAAATGAACAAAATAGCTGATTCTGAAGACTAACTCAGATGTTAGATTTTTTCTTCCAAACAACTATTGTTTTAAGGACCATGTGAATACTGAATATTCTTATTTACATCCTCTTATGCTATCTTGCTTTATTGGCATTCCGGAAGTAGTGCGACTCTCCTCATTATTTTTCTTCCAATGTGGAAAACAAAGAAGTATACATCTAATTTTGGCACTTTTCTAAATTCAATTTCTTTTAATTGATTGGTGTTTACTTGCTTTCTATAGGTGCTCCAAAAACCTCTCCTCATGTTGTGTTTTTGGAATAGCAAAGGATGGCTTAGGCTGCTGATTACGGCCCGTTAAATGATAAATTCAGATGTGCTTCTGATATATATATTTGCAGATGCAAATGTTTTTATATATTTTTTTGCGTATTATGCTCTATGATATAATGCCCTTTTGCACATCTTCAGCAGATAAAACTATTCTATTATACAGAAAATTGTAAAATAGGCCTATGGCAACGGTTATAAAACCGTGGCGATAGAATAGATACTGTAACGGTTACAACCGTTACAATAGCAATTTGATGAAGTAAGCACACTTTAGATACCAAACTATTCCAATTGATACTTAACTGTTACCATAGGTTTTTTTATAGGAACGGGTTTATAAACCGTCCCAATAGATCTATTTATAGTAACGATTTTAGAAAAAAAAATTATATCGGAACGGGTATTTGTCCCTTCGTCGTTTCCCCCCCTGAATTTTGGTAAACCCGCCAACATAACCCCTATTTCCTTTTATTTCTTATATTTCTTATATTCTTATATATTTTATTAATATAAATATAATAAGTAAAGAGTCCATCCATCTCCCCCACCAAACTCACACTACTATGGACACCTCCAAAGCTTTCAAATACCCATTTTACTTTGAAAAATCCTCATCTCCTTTCCTATCTAGTGTCAGTTGATTCTTCGCGTCTGCACCAACTAAATCGGAAGCTTAATTCGAAAGATGAGAGTAGGCTCGAGGAGGATCAAAAGACTGATTCTCGATCCCTAAAGTTAGAAAGCTGGCTAGACTGCAATCTATGCCTATGGAAGGAAAAGTCACGAAAAGCGATCCATATGATCATAAAGAAAGGTTTGCCTATGCGCCTTTCTAGCGTACGCGGGGTTCCTTTCGATTGAAACTTGTCGCTACCTGGATCAATCAGCCTATTCTAGTTCGCCTTGAGACTAACCCTAAATTCCCAAGTACCCAAATTGATTGCTAACCCAAAACTCCCAAATCCCCAAAGTCCCAAAATCCATTTGTTTTACTCAAAGGAGATGAAGAACAGAGGAATAATTTAAAGGCAGCGATTACAAGTGAAAAAAATATTTCAATCGCGAGAAATTTTCGACCCAAAAGGCAATCTGTGAGAAATCAACTTCAGGTAATTTTTCTTTTCTAATTTGGGCATTTTCTTCTTTAATCGTTCTTTTTTTCTTAAAGCTTTATGGTGTGAGCAGTGTATATGATTTCTTGCTTTCTGAACCCAAATTATTTGGGTTTAATTTTCATTTGGGTATGGCTAACGTGGGTCAAAATTTATTTCGGTAAATATTGTGAATTCTTCTCTGAACTAAATTTCTCTGGAAAGTTACGTTGAATTTCCTGTTGCATGAGCTATTAAGCTGGGTAGTTTGGGTCTAAGTTTGTTTTTATACCTATGGCAAAATTAGTTTAATCTTGGCCATTGCCGATTTGATTTGTTGGGATGAAATTGGGGAGCAAATAAATTGAAACAGTAGAATTCAAAGAGAGGTCTATTTGTGAGTGTTTATTAGAAGCTGTAAATTTGAATATAAATAGAGCCCTTTGAGGTTTTGTGGCTAAAGGAAACAATTATTTTTAGTAATAAATCTTGGATTTCGATCCGAGTAAAGAGCAGTGGTTTTCTCGAAACTAAATAGTAGTAGAATTGTTGAATTGCAGAACCTTTCTCGGGTGGTATCGAAGGTGATAAATGATTAAAAGATCATTCACTGCTTATTCTGATTTTATCTTTTATCATTTGTGGGGGAGGAACACAGCGGCATTTATGTGTAAACAAAAGGAGCTGAAGCATACTTCTGTTAGATGCATATCATATCCGGATATAAAAGACTTAATAATACCATTTGAGTCAAACATAGTAAGCACAATGATTTATCCCAAAATGGCAGTCATTTTCAATCTACTGATGGAAATCGTAAAATTTACATGATCCAATTCCAATACTAATTCTTCTTTTAGAAGAAAAAGAAAAACACAACCCTTAGGTATGACCAATAGGTATGAACTGAAGTATCAGATATAAGCATGATTCTAAGGGACAAATTTTGGAAACAATAAACATGTAAGCATCTGATCAAATACAAATGATGAACTAAAGTATGATATTATTAAAACAGGATGTTCTAAGGGACTAACAAAGACATAAACTACGTGACAAAGTAAAATATTAGTTTTTCAGCTTTCAGAGAGGAGGGAGAGTGAAGTTTAATTAAGAAAGAAACACCGAAAAACTCTATTCATTTTGGACTTTTGATGAGTTAATTTTGTTTGTTGGCTCCTGGAAGTACTATGCCTAGGGTATTAGTTGTACTAAACCTTTATCATTAAAGTTGATCCTTTATTGAATGTTAAATTAATATGAACCTTGGTTAATTTTGGTGATTTACTTTTGTCGTATAGGATTTTAATGGATAATGCAGATAAAAGTTGGATGAATCGCCTAAGATGGACGGATGAGTATATTCATGGAGTGAATGAGATTTTCTTGATAAGGCATTTGAACGAGCTTCCCAAGGAAATGAAATATTATGCCCTTATAAAAAATGTATTAATCGCTATTGGCATTATAGAAATGTGGTGGAGGATCACTTAGTTGTTAATGGCTTTGTTGATGGTTACACCAAATGGATTTTCCATGGGGAAGGATTTTCCTCTAGAAATACACCTCATCAACGCAATGATGATGAAAGTTCTAACGTGCGTGATGATATTGATGGATTACTTCATGATACATTTAGAAATGTAGAAGGCGAGCTAGAGCAGGAAGAAGGGATGAGAGAGGCTTTATCTGAAGATGCTAAGAGATTTTTTAAATTATTAGAGGAAGGAAAACAAGAATTGTATCCGGGGTGTGAAAACTTCACTAAATTGAGTTTCATCATCCGGTTGTACTTATTGAAATCGTTGCATGGATTGAGTAATGTGGCCTTTTCAAACATGTTAGAGTTGTTAAAAGAGGCATTTCCCTTTGCCCAGCTGCCAGAGTCTTTCAACAAGGCTAGAAACATGATAAAAGATTTGGGTCTTTATTATGAAAAAATTCATGCATGCCCTAATGATTGCATGCTATTTTGGAATGACAATGTAAAGGCCGATAATTGCTCCGTTTGTGGGTCTTCTAGATGGAAAAGTGTTGATAATGCCTTGAATAATAAAAGCTCTAAAATCCCTGCAAAGGTTTTAAGGTACTTTCCCTTAAAGCCTAGGCTTTAGAGGATATTCATGTATCCCGAAACAGCCGTTGCAATGAGATGGCATGCTAAAGAACGACCCAATGACGGGAATATGAGGCATCCTACTGGTGGAGAAGCTTAGAAGGATTTTGATTCTCTATACCCAGATTTCTCTAGAGATCCACGTAATATTAGGTTGGGTCTTTCAAGTGATGGTTTCAACCCATTTCGAACCTTAAGCATTTCTCATAGCACGTGGCTTGTTATGTTAATGAACTATAATTTATCGCCATGGATTTGCATGAAGCCAGAATATATCATGTTGTCAATGATCATTCCAGGTCCATCATCTCCAAGAAATGATATAGATGTGTACTTACAACCATTTTTTGCTGAATTGAAGGAACTATAGGAAACTGGAATAGAAACATATGATGCTGAAACAAACCAAACATTCTGAATGTGTGCAGCCTTATTATGGACAGTTTTTGATTTTCCAGCATTAGGAATACTTTCAGGATGGAGCACAAAGGGGAAATTGGCATGCCCTATTTGTAATTATGACACATGCTCTCAATATCTCAAACATAGTCATAAGATGTGTTACTTGGGTCATCGAAGATTTTTGCCTCCTGATCATCCATCGCGGAAAGATAAAAAGTCATTTGATGGTAGTGAGGAGCATAGACCTGCACCTACTCCTTTGAAGGGTGCAGAAGTATTTGAAGAGCTGCTTGAATTCAATAATATCTTTGGTAAGGAAAAAAAAAAGACCTCGAGGTAACAAGGGTCCATGGAAAAAAAGATCTATTTTTTTTAATTGCCATATTGGGCGCATAATAAATTGAGGCACAATCTTGATGTGATGCAAATTGAGAAAAATATATGTGACAATTTACTTAGGACTTTATTGGAAATAGATAAAAAGTCAAAGGATCATATAAATTCTCGCTATGACTTACAAGAAATGGGGATACAAAAGGAGTTACAATCAAGAGAAGATGATGATAGAAGTGTAAGTTTGGCTAAATCTTGTTTCTATATGAAGGAAAATGAGAAAAGTTTAGTTTGTACCGTCATAAAAAATGCTAAATTACCAAAAGGGTGTGCCTCGAATATTTCAAACCGCGTACACATGAAGGAGATGAAAATATCAGGGTACACGAGTCACAATGCTCATTTTATAATGCATTACTTGCTCCAGGTTGCTGTTAGAAAGGTGTTGCCTAAGAATGTCTCGTTGGCCTTGATTAGGTTGGGTAATTTCTTTAGAGCCATATGTAGAAAGGTCATAAGGCGAAGAGATCTTGACAAAATACAGTCTGAAATTGTTGAAATAACATGTGATCTTAAAAAGATTTTTCATCCAACATTTTTCGACATAATGCCATATTTGCCTATTCATTTGGTGAATGAAATTAAGCTTGGAGGTCCGGCTCATCTTCGTTGGATGTATTCCATTGAGAGGAACCTATGTAAGTACAAGACATTTGTTCGTAATCGATCTTGTCCAGAAGCGTTAATAATATAGGGGTTTTTGGCTGAAGAGTGCTTGACTTTTTGTTCACGATACCTCCATGATGGAGTGAAGACAAGATTCAGTAGATACCCAACTGCGGAGGATGAGTGCCCTCAAATATTGTCACCTATATTCCCTATGATAGGCCATCCAATTGGAAGCAAGAAGAAAAAGAATACTTTTCTCATGGACCCACAATTATGTTTTGAAGCACATCGGTATGCTCTGTTCAATACTGGAGATGAACAAGGGGAAAATTTTATCGAGTAAGATAAATTATATAACATTTAATTTTTTTCTATATTTTATTTTCTCTATGATATAATTGATCTTGAAATATTCATAACTACAAGGAACATAAGAATTTAATTGGTAATCGCAATAGATCAAATGCATGGGAAAGGGAAAGGAATCATAGCCGGGAATTCAACAATTGGTTTGCAGAGAAAGTTAAAAATATTGAAGTGCCCGATTATTTAAGATGGCTAGCTAAAGGGCCTAATACGATCGCCAAAAGATATGCTGCATATTTCATTAATGGATACCGATTTCATACCATTGAACGGGATTCCCGATGCAAGACTCAGAATAGTGGAGTGACTTTATCGGCAACAACCGATAGCTTTGCTAGCTCTAGGGACCAAAATCCCATCGATGGTGAGGTTATCTATTCTATTCAGGATATCATTGAGATTGATTATTGGGGTTGTTTTAGCGTTGTACTATTTAGATGTGATTGGTTTCGTAATGAAATAGATGAATATGCGTTAACTCGTGTGTACTTTAAGAAATTATGTAGCATAGATGATCCTTTTTATTGGCTTCACAAGTTTATCAAGTTTTTTACGTAGAGGATCCAGTTGAGAAAGATGTTTATTATGCAAGGAATAAAGTCCCTATTGATTTGTATGATTTAGAGGAAGAGAATTGCCCCAATATTGAAGATGCATTTTGGAGGGAGCCAAATGATGACATTGGTTCCTTAAGTGGATTAGTTGAAGTTGACGTTGGATGGTCAAGAGATGATGTACCCGTTGATGTCGTTGATATCCCATCTAATGTACAACATTCACATAATACAATTATAGAAACATCGGAAGAGGAAGATGAGTTTGATGATACTGATTGGGACCGGATGGAATCAGATGATTAAAGAAAAACTTCTGAAATTCTTTTAAATATATTCTGTTTTGAGTGAGTTATAATATTTTTTATGAATATTTTATAATTACTCTTGTTTATATCTTTTTAATAATATTTTATTTTGTTATTCCTTCAGCATTTTACTGACATGCACTGACATGCTTCAATTTTGCAGGATTTGGGATCTTGTGATATTTTTACAGTTGTTGATGAGGCTAATATACATCTTACTAAGTAATTTTTTATTACAACCAGTCGAGGCTTGAATTGATAGAGAATTGAGGTACTTATAATGCTTTCCCTTAACTAGTAAAACTATAGAATAAGTTTTATAACACTTGTCATGTTAAATTCTTGTCGTTCTTTTACTTTCTGTTGATACATTATGTCTTTCTTTTATTTTGTATATCAAAAACCTTATAATGATTTACTTAGCCATTTGATATGTAAGGCAGCAGCCTTGAAAATATGAAATTCTTGCTGAAATGAAGTAGCAGAATTTGTAGTGATTTTTGTATCCTTTTTGCTGAAAATATGAGGCAACATTTACTTTCTGGAAATGTACTTTCTATTTAGTATAGTTATGTTAATGTATATATATTTGGTCTTCCTGTTAAAGCTTTACTAACCTATCTTTTACTCATTTTCTGAACTTAACAGGAATTTAAATAGTCATGGATCAGGAAGCACACTCAAGTAAAAATAAAAAAGTCAAAAACTGCATTGCGGCTGGATCACTTGCATATTTGCAAAACCAAAAGGTTTCGTCGTTGAAAACAAAAAGAATTGTTCAAGGTTCAAGGTCAAATGACAAGCATCAGCTAAATCTAGTCGACAAACAGCTTCCACAATTAGGAGCTCAAGTGCAAGAACAGTTGTTGCAACTGCCTATGCGTTCTACTTCTCCTCCAGCACAAACAGTACATGAGGAAGCACAACAACTGCCACCACACTCTACCTCTCTTGCATCACAAGCAGTGCGTGAAAATTTGCAACAACTGCCACTGGATTCTACCACTCGTACTTCACAAACGATACAGGAACAATTTGAGGATTCTACCAATCATGAAACAAACGAACAATATGAGGAACAAGGCAAGAATATAAAGATTTCAATCGTCAAATTAACTAACAATAGTGACTTTTGGTGATTATCCTTGCTTTATATTATTGCAGGTCCTTCTGCTGAAAAAAGAAAAAGAGGCAAAACTCATATGCCAGGCATGCATGGAAGGAAAGAACGTAAAAAAGTTGTGTTAAATGAGATGAATCAACCCATAGGTCCTACTGAAGAAGTTGTAAAAGAGTTGGGTAGCTTCCTCGTCACATTGGCAAGGAGTGCGACATTTTGTCCTCTTAATGTGTTTAATTGAAGGAAACTTGAAACAAAAGAAGATATGTGGAAATACGTCAAGGTTTGAAGTTCGCAATATTCAATAGGCGTGAATGATATTTCATATTTTTTACACTAACCTAACTGCACCAAATTTGTAGGAAAAATATGACATTCCTGAAGCTGCGAAAGTATGGGTTCTTGAATCAATTCAGAATGCTTGGAGAAAGTATAAGAATACGTTAATGAAAGAACATTTTAAACCCTATGAAAATGACGAGCTTCGAATGGAGAAAAGGTCGATTGATGTTTCGGAGTCTCAATTTAGGGAACTTCTTAAATATTGGAATTCTGATTCCTACAAGGCAAAACTGAATATCTTTCGATGATTTGCTGAAAATGTCTGATTTTCATTTAATTATAAATCATCTTGTTAGGGAAAATCTATTTGACTTTGCAATAATAAAAGTATTCTTCATGTTTATTTCTATATGAGTGCTGCCGAATGTTAGTTAACAATGCTACACTTAAAGTGCCAGCGCTAGATAAAAGCTTTTCATGCTACAATTTCATTCATTATCAATCTGTTTGTCACAACAGTGTTCGCAAAGTCATTTTATGGTATTGAAATATCCAATAGCATTGGCCTAGAAAATGCAGGTCAATAACTTCAGGAAAAGTATGGTGGAGGAGTGTTCCCCATCCTTTATATTTGGGCTATTGGATTGTTGTCTGTTCAAATCCCTTTTGCCCTGATCCCCCGTCTTAGTCTTGTTCAAATCCCTAAAGGTATGTTCTTTTCTTCAAAAGTTTTGCTCAAGTGAACTGCTTTTACAGGTCAGCATTAGATATATTTCTTATTCTTTTCGCCTTGAATTTGGAGTTTATCCACAAAAATGTGAAACATCATTTCATAAAAGTCATCATTTTTAAAACAGGTGGGGATCAATAACTTATACTATAATTGTTTGTGAGGAATATTCTTAAAAGATAAGGAGTGTTATTTATTAAGTTTCAGTGTCAATGGGGATTCTAATATAGATACAGGGACAATGATTGAAATTAGAGGTGGCCTCTTTTTCTACTCTCCCATTCTTTTTTGAAATGATGCAATTTTCTCACAGTTTATATGAAATCCAAATACTCTTAGGCCTCGACTGGATCTGCTGGTACATTTTGCTGATTGTGTGGCCTTCTTCTTTCAGTGTGTTTTCGCTGACTTTATAGTGTATCAACAAAGTGTAGTACTATGTGGGATTTGTCTGATTCACATCATTTTAGATTTGTACTTGTTCGGGAAGAAGAAATCTCCTGCATTTTGTCTTGTCTTGATCACTTGATTCTATTGTACGAATACATTCAAAGAAACTTCTATAGGTGTAGTTATGTAGATTGCCAACAAATCCTTGCCTATTCATTTTATCAGCTTTTAGAGATAAAATATTAATCTTTGCCGGGGCATATCATACTATCACATGTTTCATGAGACATATAGTCCATCAGGGCTTTTCATTGTCTCTTAGAATGGATATTTTGTTAGGGGGATATAGTTTCATTGTGATCCCTGTTAACATTGGTACTTGATTTAGAAAAACTTACTTATAAGCATGTTTTGTGTTACTTTATGGCAGAAGGTGTCTTAGGTATCATATTAAAGTATGCTTCATAGATACAGCCCATCCCCTTCCCCAAGAAAGATGAAGAAAAACAGAAAAATAGGGAGCTCCTCACCATCTTTGACAGAAAGAGCTCTGAAGAGCTTAGACAACAGTTAAAATTTATCATCAGTCTGCTACACCAATCCAAGTACTTATAAGTTATAAGTACTAGCATCATAATCTGAATTTGGTTAACTGCCAACTTATTGACTTGGTCCATTCGCTAAAATTTCATTGACTCATTTGTTTGCAGAAAATGTCCAGAACCAATATCGAGAATCGCAGAAAGTTGAGATATCTGCACACTACTGGCAAAACAAGTTTTGCTCTAATCTGCGAGGTTTGATATTTTTCTGTCATTATTCTTTTAAATATGAACTTGCTAACTTCAATCAAAAATAATTTTTATACAACTTTGTATGTAACCAGAAAAAAAAGAAGGAAACTTCTGAAGTTCTATCAAGTAAGGACATCTTTGTGGCTACAAGTAAAAGAAAACCTGATCGAGTATACAAGGCCTCGTATGCGGATACACTTAATAAAATTGTACGGAGTTTCTAATTTAAAGTTTGTTGATATCATTTGTCTATTCTTCGTTATTGACTCGGTTTTATATACTTTCTAATTTAAAATTGACTCAATTTGGTCTTGTAGGCTGAAATGGAAAGAGCACAATCAACATAAGAAAGTGAAGATGGCAGTCAATCAGTTGACGCATTTGCATCAGTTATGGGACCTGAGCATCCAGGTTGCCTAAGATTGTATGGACGTGAGGTTACCAAGACTGCCTTAAAAAGAAAAGTGGGAGATTTTGGACCCTCTGTAAGTTCTACTGATGAGATGATGCAGCAAAAAATGGAGGAAATGGAAGAAAGGATGCAGCAAAGAATGCGAAAAAGTTCAACACACAAAAAGATGCTATGGAACTAGAAGTTGCAGTTAACGTCATTTCACAACTTAAGCGTCTGAATCCAGGATTACGGATTGATCCTAATATGCTACTTTTCAATGCTCGTTCACCTGGAGAAGCTTCCTCTGCTCAACAAGCTGCTATGCAACTAATCAATCGTCTATCTACTGGGAGTAACAATCAAGGTCAGTTCTTCTTCTTCTTCTTCTTCTCCTCATTTCTTCTCCTTCTTCTTCTACCACTGCTCTCTCTCTCTGCTCACTATTTTTCTTAGAGGGAAGTTAGTAAGCTAGTGAAGTTTGATTAGTCTACTCATTTTTTTATTCTGCCTCCGGCCCTTTGTCGCATTGTAATTCTGTGGTTGACTTGTCGACTTTATTACTATGATGAATATTCTTTTTCTGTTGCCTTGTCGGCTCTTTGTTGTTGTATAATTTTTTAATAAAGTGGTGCAGCAGATCGAGTGTTGCATTCTTGAGTTTCGTGCTCTTCCTCTTATCTTGCTTGTTAATAATTATGAGATGCCATGTGAGGTTCTTTTTGTTAAAAAAACTATTAGTGCTCCATGTGAAAGAAACAAGATTATTTTGAGTCAAAGTTCAAAGATACCGGACTATTTTGAGCCTTTTTTCATTTCCACTTGGGTTTCCTTTAAAATAATTTGATTTCTGATTTGGAAATTGGGATTGTCAAGTGTACACCCTTTGAGGTTTTCTGTATTGTGATGGTGGGGTTAATTGGAGAGATGTTGGTGAATTATTATATCTGGATATTCTTGGAGAATAATTGATATGAAAGAATTAATGAATTTGCTGCTAGGTGATGAATATTGCTGCTGGGAAAGTAACTGCCAGCGCAATACAGAAACAGGGGTGTTCTAGGTGCTTTTCCCTTGATTTTCTGTTAAATATTGTCAGCGCAATACAGAAATTGGCAGCTCTATGTTTTCTCTGTTCACGTATTCATCTTTGGATCCTCCACCACATGAGGTAATTAGGTGATGCAATGGATAATTTATTCCCAGTGGTTCTTTGTAGATCCTCGAAAACATACATCACTTTCAAAAGCAAATGAGTACATGGATCAGTCCTTTATGTTGGTCATGTTTCCTGGGAGCCTATATTATCCTTTATCTTTTCTAATAAAGTGAATGCAAGAAAATGGCTATATGTATGTTGAACATACCTGTTAACATAAGTTTCTTTCCTTCGTCCTTGCATCCATGACAACACTAGAATTTATTTCCTCCTTGTTTCCAGAATATGCTTATAGACTTATTTATTCTGTTTTTTCGTCTTTCTTTAGTTGCTTTTAGTGGTTGTGGCTGAATGCATAAGTTTAGAAGTCTGGTTTAATGATTTGGATTTGCTATTGAATTTTGGCTTCCTCATTTGTATCAACTTGTTTCTTTTCAAAATGCTTTATGCTTGAGTTTTTCATGGACCATACCCACTTTTATAAAACCAACCCTTGAAGGACAATAACTTTGTTTATCTTCTTTTGTAGGTGGAGCAAATGAAGAAAACGGAGATGGAGACAGTGAAGATCTAGACCTTACTTAAAGAATTTTGAATTGTTGTAGATGTTTAGGAATCTTTTGTTATCAACATTTGAAACTTACTCTAACTCTTGAAGTCTTGAACCGTAAAACTTATGCCATTGGGTTAATTAGAACATTTTGCTTTTATGGATATTATTAGCTTATTGGACAATATAGATTATGAATATTTTTATTTTGTGATTTATATAAATTTCAGTTTATTAAAAAATATTTATGCATGTGAATATTTATCTAAAGTCAGGGCTATATCATTTTGTCAATTAAACTATTACAATAGCCTACTAGAACCGTTGCATTCGGATGTTCAAACTGTTGCAATACAAAATAAAACCGTTACGATAGCATGATAAAACTGTTTGAATATCTCTTAGTCGTCGTGGAAATAGCTTACAGAACCGTTGTAGTAAATTATATGGTAACGGTTTTCAACCGTTGCAGTAAATAGTATGGTAACCGTTTTAAACCGTTGCATTAAATATATGGCAACGGTTTTCAACCGTTGCAGTAGAAAAAAACACTCGTTGCTTCAGACAGAGGAAGAACCATTGCGATAGCTAGTACTATAGCAACGATATGGTGAACCGTTCCTCTAGCTCTATTGGCACGCGGCATGGTGGAACGGTTGTTGTACCATTCCAATAAAGTTATGGCAACAGTTTCCATATCTTTGGCAACGATTTTCTGACCGTAGCCATAGGCCTATTTCTAGTTTTATGTCATGTTCTGCCCTTATGTGCTTCGGGGCTTTTGCATCTATACTCGGTTTTGGGATCACAATTGAACCTATACCCACTTTGCAAAAAAGTTTGCAAGCATACCCACTTTACGATCAACTTCAGACTTATCAGGTCTGAAGTTAAAAAAAATTAGTCTGAAGTGAAAAAATTGCACTTCAAATGCACTTAAGGCCAAATAGGTATGAAGTGCTTCATGCACTTAAGGCTAATAAGACTGAAGTGCAACTTAAGGTTAAAAAGTCTGAAGTAAAAAATTGCACTTCAGATGCACTTAAGGCCAAAAAGTGTGAAGTGCAACAAATGTTTTCATTCACTTAAGGCCAATAAGTCTGAAGTAAAAATTTGCACTTGAGATGCACTTAAGGACAAATAGGTCTGAAGTGTAACCAATGGTTTCATGCACTTAAGGTCATTAAGTCTGAAGTGAAAAATTATACTTCAGATGCATTTAAGGCCAAAAGGTCTGAAGTGCAACAAACGTTTTGCTACACTTAAGGCTATGGCTGTCCAACGGGATGGGACAAAATTAACGGGACGGGACGACATTTAGCCGGGATGGTAGCGGGACGGGACAAACGGGATAAAACGGTAGGCCCATCCCGTCCTGCTAACAAACGGGAAGGGACAGGATGGGACAAACGGGACGAAACGGTAGGCCCATCCCGTCCCGCTAACAAACGGGATGGGACGGGACGGGACGGGTTCGCGGGCCTTAAGTACCGTTTTAAAAAAAAAATTATTTATGCATTAAGTTTGGCAACGGCTATTTTTTTGACAATGACTAAGTTTTTAAAGTTTGCAACTGCTAGTTTTTTGACTTATTTAATAAACTTAAAAATTAAACGAAAATTAGGAAACTAAGTAAAGAATTATAAAAATATTAAAACAAAAGACTTGTAATGAAATATTCTAGTAATTATAAATTTATAATAGAGTTATAATTTATTTAATATAATTTCAAGCCATTAAGTAACTAAGTAAGAGTGTAAGACAATTCATAAAAAAAAATTCAACGCTTAGAGCCTTTTATTTTATTAATAGAACTTTCAATTCTCACATTCAAATATAATTCTTTTGAAGAGCACCTAATCTACGCAGCCACCTTCTAGGAAGGGTTCTGTTTGAACTAGGCGTCTTAGTAGCCAATTACAAATTATCATACTAATATTTGTAAGCTCCTATATAACTTCGTTGTAACTTATCTATAATTTCTCTCGGACATTGTTCTGGAATTGGTAATGTTGATTGATGTTTCATGAGTTACATGTCGTCATCGCTCCCAGTGCCAAGTATCTCATTGTATTCTTCTTCTTCCCTAGTGGTTAATTTTTCAAAACCAAGATTTCTTCTTTCTGAATTAATCCAATCTCTGAATAATACGAAAATCTCTAGGCTGTCCTCCGCTAATGAATGTCTATGATCTCCGATTTGAAATCTTGCCGCGCTAAAAGCACTCTCCGATGCTACTGATGATACTTGAATAACAAGGATATCTCGGGCCATTATTGAAAGTGTTGGAAAAGTCTTGCCACACTCCCTCCACCATGCCAAAAGTTGTTTGTTGCCTTCTTCGTCTTTAATACTTTCCAATCCTTGATTAAGATAAGAATCAAATTCATCATCAATAGAAGAATCAAAACCTGTTATATTATTCATATCTTCCCATAGAACTTCTACTCTAGGCTTAAAAGTAGAAGGAGCAGTTTCACCACCTGTTATTTTCATATATTTATATTTATCAAACATTGATCTAACATAAGAATATATGTTAGCTTGGCAGTCTTCGAGAGATGGTTGTTCATTTTCTTGAATTGCTAAATTCTCATAAATTTTACGAACAAGTCCATTTGCACCTCTTAATTTTAAAGATGGGTTAAGTATAGTAGAAATTAAATAAGCTTAGGAAATAGGGAAAAAATACTTTTAAAATTTTGCCATTTCATTAATGGTCGGTGCATAAGTTGGATTAGTTTTATACTTACTAAATACAACAGAAATTCCACAAATATACCATAATATTTGTGTAACAGTAGGATAATATGTACCAGAAAATTATTTTGTAGCATAATAAAATTTTTCTAAAAATTTAGTAAGCTCTTTGATATGATCCCAATCAGAATCAACAATTTGATCAGCGGCGATACCATTATACATATTAAATACCTTTTGTATATGCACCCGATAATCATAAGCAACTTTAAGCATTTCATAAGTAGAATTTCACTTAGATGGAACGAGTGCACCATGATTAAATATTGAAACTTGAAGAAATTGCCCAAAATATTGCTCCAATTACTTGACGAATTAATTTAAAACTTGAAAATTGCTCCAAAAATTTGCCCAAATACTTGAAACTCACTTGATAGTTGATAGTGAGAAAATTAAGAGAATAATATAGATAGTGTAAGAGATTTGAGAGAGAATGATTAATTTTTGTGGGAAAAAATGAAGAAGGATGGGGTATTTATAGTAGAAAATAANAAAAAAAAAAAAAGGACGCGGGACGGAACGGGACGAAATGGTCATCCCGTCCCATCCCGTATCCCGTTTAACATGGGCCCATCCCGTTTAGAATTAAGCGGGACGGGACGGGACGCGGGACGGGACTGCCCGTCCCGTTGGACAGCCTTACTTAAGGCCAATAAGTCTAAAGTGAAAAATTGCACTTCAGATGTACTTAGGGCCAAAAGGTCTGAAGTGCAACAAACGTTTTGCTACACTTAAGGCCAATAAGTCTGAAGTGAAAAATTGCACTTCAGATGCACTTAAGGCCAAAAGGTCTTAAGTGCAACCAACGTTTTTATGCACTTAAGGTCAAATAGGCATGAAGTGCAAATTGTTGTTCTTCGAATTATAGCAATCCAATATACGATTTAATACCTAAATCTACTCCAAATGAGCTCAAATTTGAAACATAACCTCCAAATATCATCGGGAACAAACCTCAATCATCAATTTGTCAAAACAACAATAAATCTAATGAACCCAATTTGCAATTACGGAAAAGAAAAAAAAAACCTAAGCAATAGTAAAAAATAAAGCGTCATAACAGCTCACCACTATAAAACATCATAAACTACCTTAAAATATGTTCACAAACATCATATAAAATCATTGTCACCCGAAGAAGAAGACAAAGGAGGAGGAGGAGAAAGAGACCTGAAGTTGTTTAAAAAGTAGGTACAAATTAAAACTTTTTTAAAAAGTGGGTATAGATTAAATGGGGACGACCAAATAGGGCGCTCGTGCAATTGTTTGTGCTTTCACACGTCAAAGCAAATGAGATCATAAATAATCAATCCAATTTTTACAATATTGGGCCCATACTAGCATGGGCCATCACCACCTAGTAAAATGCAAGGGTAGGATTATTTCCTTCTATTCAAATTATAAATGGTTATACTGTACCATTTCTTCCATTTCTAAGGACAGCAGTTACTTTTATTACAAGTATCTAGGCAAATATCAATTAATTTTACAAAAGAAAGAGAGACGGACAAACACTAGAAGAGGATATCTTACATTTTCTTATTCAAAAGATATAGTACAACTTATTGCTTTGACTATTCCCTAAAAGAACATTCTTAAGCTAACATATTTACAGAGTAGGTAGACAGTGCCTTTTAACTCATTTGTGACTTATACAAAGATGTGCCATCTATCTCACATGTAAACGTAAGAGAAAACAAACAAATGATTTCCACCTACTATGCTTCTACTGGTGCATCTTCTTATGCTCTTGGTTTTCTTCTTTGGATCTCTGCTAGGAATAAGCACAGCAACTATCTTCGAGACTGTCAAGCAGACTTCAGCCACATAGATTTAGCAGTCCAAGGATTGTTGACATTATAGTCGATGCATATCAACTGCAGGAAAATTGAAAGGTAGAATGAAAAAGCTCTACCAAAACCAAACCTATAAGTGATCCGTGTGTAAACTAGAAACTCTCATACTCGGATAGAGTATCAGATGCTGATTGAAGCTTTCTGACCTGCATGCGGCTACAGTACTAGGAGCCACTACCCAAAAGGCAGTTACTGCTGCCTGAGCTACCCATAGCATAAGGTGTATCGCGGACAAGAAACTTGATAGTGCGGCCACCAACAAAATCCAGTATCTCAAGACACTCATGCAAATCTGCATCATTTACCAACATCACCCATTCCTCCTCATCATCAAGATACTTGAGTTGGAATGTCCCAGTCTGCAGTTTAAACCTCTTTGCAACCTCCTCATAAAGTTGGAAGCACCCTGCTGAAGGCTCAAACTTAAATCGGGTAGTATCTTCTTTGTAAGTGGCTTTCACAGTAATTGTTGACCCACTATCGCCAAAGTTTGCCTCAACTTTAGAATGATTCCGTGCACCACGACTGCGGGAGCTTGATGAACTGCCGTTCATCATTGACTCAGACCCATTGGATGAATCTGTCATCGCTGAAGAACTGGCTTGGTTATGTTCAATGACCCCACCATCACCATCCATTTCATTATCTCCTTTCATCTTAGTGTCACCATCACCTCCAGCAGCTTTCGAATATGAGCACCGAGAAGTGAAATGACACTCAAAATTGTCCAACGTATCATTGTCCAACCCCCACCTCCTGCATCCTTCTTTTGTATGGAAAGAGCCCAATGATGCATTTCTGGAATTAGTTAATGGCATCGTCCGACTAGCAGGTCTAGATGACATTGCATCTAATGCTGCCAATTTGGGTTCATAACAAAATCCAGACACTGGAATACTCGACTTATTTCCTCCCTTGAAAGAGCTAGTATTGATATAATTTGATTGGCCGAGCTGGTTCCCATCAACATAAGAGTCCTCTTCCATTTTCACCATGGAGTTTTCTTTGTCAATGCCTGAAGTTGAGGGTACAGACACAGCATCCTGGAAAACAGAATTAGGATTTTTGACAGAGACATCTTTGCAGGGAAAAAATATGCTTTGCTGTGCATCAAAATCTTGGATGATAGAGCTAGCTGGAACGAGACCTCCAGTGGCTGGATCAAACTTCAATCCCCCTTCTACTCCTTGGACAGATTCAAGCACTGTTTGTATCTTTTTCAAAGACCGATTGACTTTGTTTATCTTCCGGGATGGCCATCTTGATATCCCATGTTGTCGACATATTCTTTTCAAGGTAGTTGGACACACTACAAAATACGCACAACAATGAACTTAAAAGACCACCTTTTGCAAGGCTATTAAATTATGCTTTCAACTTCAAAGAAAAGCCAATATACTTTTTACTTTCCATTCCTGCTCATCCTTTTAAACTGTAACGTCTCTGCACACACTTTAAGAATTTCACAAAAAAACAAATACTTCACAACTCTCATTTGTACTTACCAATTTTGTTTTTGTTCGAATAAGCAACAAAGAGATGATATTTTTTTTGCAGATGGTAACATAATAACAAAGAGATAATATTGATGTAAAACATAATAGCATTGAGGAAATCTTGAGGCAAAAGTACATCCACAAAAGAAAGAACTTTACAGTATGTAAGAACTAAAAAAGTCAACCCAACTGAAACTAAGCAGGTATGTATATTTGAGTTTAAGATTAACTACATTGACCTTGTCTTTCAATGCTTCAAGCATTTAATTTTTCTCCATATAACCCACTATACAACTGCTGGAATACACTTATGTTCATGGACAAAATTGGATAAATCCAACCTATGCCAGGATAGTGAGAAATTCATGGTACTATATCACATACTGCAATGGATCCCCAAATCCGTTTCTACTTGCCAATATTGAGGATTCAGCTTTCTTCTACCTTCTTTTTGTTCTCCTTCGTGTTATGCAGAAGTTCTCACTTAAATGAAGCAGTTACATAAAATTCCAAATGATATACAGCAGAAATAGCATATCCTACTTATTAGAGAAGGGTCTTGAATGGGCGAGTAAGAGGCCCAAATTCATGTTCGAAGACAAATAGAGGGAAAGATATTCAGTAGCATTGACTGTGTTTACAGTTAATCCTGCATTTGGACTAAGGATGAAATCTTTGTAAAGTTAATAGAGAATTTTTCTCAACGAACTGTTGAATCAGAAATTAACACCCAATGGGAGGAACTATTCACAGCAACAAATAAAGTAATGATTTATAGGTATCCAGTATACTTGCAAATTAGTGGGACTGATACACTTGACAGAAATATGCTTACCGCCAATGCTTTTTGCAGCATCCTTCAGGCTTCCAGAGAAGTACTGCTGAAGAACACTTAAGCTAACATGTTTTTCTGCTGTACTTCGTTTTTTCTCCATCTGTCTTCTTGATCTAATCATTGTCTACAATAAGAGTTGCAAAAAAAACTTCAGTATAGATGATTTTAGAAAATAAACCAAAAACAGATTGAACACAGGTTGTTAGGGAACACATAGAACAAGTGTCAAAGAAAGAGTATGCTCAAAAGTGCAGTATGAATGTGGAGCATATCAAATGTGCTCACCTAGATCACATTAAACCAAAGCCGATTGAAATTGAATACTCAACTAAAATAATCTAGTTGGATGTAGACTAGATTAAATATTGCTAGTAAGATAATTGAGTGATATACCTGTTCACGAGAACCATCAGCTTGCATTCCAGCACTCTTTGAATCAGATACGCCTAAAGGAGCCACACTCACAGAATTTGAATTGCTGTCTAACGAGTGCTGAGAGTTCCTTCTAGACAATGTAATCGGTGGTAAATTGGGAGCAAATCCATCTTGTAATCCAAACGTAGCACCTTGTCCAACCAATTCTGCATCTGACACTGTTCTCAAACTTCTGCAGATTCTTTGCATGGTACCTGAAAGGTTATTCAAGAGAAGCTGTTGCTCGGTACTTCCCTTCATACTGATAGGAAGAAAGAACTCCAATATGTAATCGTCATTGCCGGTGAATGTACTACGTAATCTTATAGCCACAGCAGCATTTAGACCAAACTTTCGTGCATGATGAACAAGTGGGTACTCGCTTATATGGTACTCCTTCACATCAGGGTAGAAGAAGGGGTGGTTAGATTGAAGAGCTTTCCCAACAATACCTTCACCTTCCTCGAGATAATGTTCCATACATGCATGTACAAATCCTTGCATTTCCTTGTCACTCGCATAACAAGCTGTATCCTCAGCGCATAACACACATTTTTCATTTGAACTTGCATTACATCCTCTAGCAAGGACTCTTATGCTTTCATCTCCTTCTCCTTCAGTGACACTACAGGGAATCCACGTCAGAGCAAGAGGCAGCTTATGCGCATGGCAAACTGCTCGCAGAACATCTGTTATCTCAGCTAAAGCAGCTCTTTGGTTCTTTGAGAGACTCTGCAAGATGAGGAAACACAAATTATATCTAGAAAAAGGGTGTTAAAAAGGTCTGATAACTGATTAGAAAAGAACTAAAATAAGAAAGAATGACACAAGCAAATAAATAAACATGATTGGTGTGCAAATTGCACGTGCAATTAACATTTTGAGTATACCTGAGAATGAAGTCGAGGAGGTGCAATACTCCTTAAATTCACAGCCTGCAGACGAGCACAAACTACAGGTTAGACCATCTTTTACCGCATACAGCTAGAGATATACGAGAACACGAGCTCAAGAGGATAAAGCAAGAACAATATAAATGCAGAAGAAGCGCATATTGTGACATCATATCATAGCAGTTGTCTCAATTTTGTAATTGTTTTTTACTGACTTACTTATATACTGTCTCAATGTTTTCTGAGATGATTTTAGCATAAACTTTTGACATAGCAAATAAAAGAAATATCTGATAGATAATGAGCCAAAAAGCATATGTACTTGAAAAAAGTATAAAATAATTTATTTTGGTTGAGATAAAGTTGAAACAAGAACACCATAGTATCATATTTTTTTTAATAACCGTGGTGTCCGGAACAACTGGCAGGCACCTCGACTAATTCCACAGGATACCTACTACTCCCACCAGCAGCAAGTACCAAGTATCTTTTTCCACCAAGATGGGAAAAAACCACCTAGTGTTTTTGCCTCCGCTAGGATTTGAACCTGAGACGGTTCTCAACCCACTTCATTGACCACTAGGCCACACCCTTGAATGTAATACTATAGTATCATAAAACGACCAAGCAAGTTACTCATAAAGTTGCCTGGTTTGGTTTTATTCTCCTTTTTCCCTTTTTAGAGGTCCGTGGGTACCAGGCAAGGGTAATAAATGGGGGGACAAAATACCATATTTATCATGATATACAAAAGAATAAGTGACAAGCAAGTTGGTATTATCTCTTTGCTTATAAGTGATAAGTTATGATCCATAAGTGCAAATAGAATGCAATTCTGAAGGAATTACTGTTACTAAAATTCAACAAAGAAAGAATATCACATACTGTATCAAAAGATCTTGAACCGTTTATAACTGGAAAATATATAATTAAACGAAAAACCAAGTATTACTTCCTTTCTTTTTTTTTGATAACCGCGAAACCCCGAGGGCCAGTGGCGCAAAAATCGATGGATAATGGGCCACCAATCAACCCTTCTCCACTTCAATACCAGGCTTGTGTTTGCGGTAGGGTTCGAACCCGTGACGTGCGCAAGAAATATTACTTCCTTGTTCCAAGCAAGGTACAAAGATTGACGAGCTAAATAAACCATGAACACAACTCCCCACCCTCCTTTTTTTGATTATAAAAAAGAAAGACGTGCTTAGCATCAAGAAATAGTAAAGCAAGTAAGCAACACAATAAATTGTTCAAACCTTCAAAATAAGAGCTTTAATATCATAAGTAACTTTTACTAATTTTTCAATCATATTTTCTTTTTATTATATCGCATTTGAACAAAACATAAACAACAAAAACATACTCAAAACAAAAATATTTTTCACTCATATTTTTCTCTCTTTTGAAAGAACTGTAAAAGACAATTTGCAACTAGTAGTATAGATTGAACCAAAAACATAAATTACTTCAAACCTACAATACAAAAGGGCTCATGACTCAAAGAAAGGAAAGTCCCCCCCCCCCGTAAATACTCAGCCTCCTTGTAGTACAGAACATTTGACGTCCACTCTGGAATTCTTGAACTAAACACCCGACCAGGAAGACCTGGAATCGATCCTGGTTTTGTTTCTGCATCAAAAGTGAACTTCCTGGAGACCTCTCGATAGCCAGAAAGTGCCTGATCAAGAAGATATGGCTGTTCACACGTGCTCAAGATATACCGATCCTTATTCTTCATTGGAATCCAAACTTGAGCCAAAATTCCCGCACCAGATGACTCTTTAAACATTGCCAACGCCCTAAGCATTCTCTCAGCAAGTGGTTGAGAAGGTGACCTTACGATCATAGAGTTGCCAATATCAGCATCATCAGCCTGCTGGCTTGAATTTTTACTTCTTTTAGCTACCAAGCCGACCCCATCAGTTGAATCTACCACAAAATGCAACTGCTCATCATTTTGCCCGAACATCATTTTCTCTCCTCCACAAACAGTACTTCCCACCATATTGGCATCCATTGGAGGAAATGTTCCAGTATTTTGTTCTGTGTAACTCAATCCTTCAAACGGTGCATAACTTTGAGACATGGAATTAATTTGCGAAAATGCTGCATAAGAGGCAAACATCTGCTCTGCTGCACTAGGGCTAGTGCACCATCCAGTGTAAGCATCAAGATTCATAATCTCCATAACATTGTTGAATGAATCATCTACATTTGAAGACCTTGCACCAGCATCAAACGCGACAACGCCCTCCATTTGACCTCTCGGAGAGGCCCAAAAACCAACTCCCCTTTCCATTTTAAACGAGAATAACCAAAAAATCTCCAATTAATTAACCAAATGCTAGAGAACGCTCAAATAACTCAAGCTATTACAGTCTTCCACTATTGGCATTCCCAGAATCCAATATCTGAAAATCAAGATCATCTTATTCCTCCCAAATCCACAATCCAACAACTTAAGAAACCTGCAATTATCCACATATAAATAATCTTTAGTTTCTCAATTTTCCACATAAATAGTAATTTACATGCCAGACTATTTATACACCAAATTACAAGTAAAGAAAGGGTAACAAAAACTAAGATGTAACTATATTCTCTTCTATCAAAAGGGTATAAACAAAGAGCAGCTTTTGAGCACTGACCTTAGGGTTCAAGAACTTCACAGAACATCAGACAAAAGAGCAAACTTTCTTGAAGATAATTCCAAGAAAGTACCAATCAATCAACAAATCAAACAAAAACTCACCTCACGAAAATAAACCGAAAGCCCAAAGCAAGGGCACATTCAAACAGAAGTCACACACAACTCACCCACACGTATTATATATTGGGGGAAAACCCCTAACCCTAAGTTTGGGAAATACTAGGAGGGTATATTATGAAATATCAAATAGAACCGACTTTGATTTTGGAACTCTGCTTGTATGTGCTGACAACGAAGCAAAGCTGCTGTTACTACTCCAAACAAAAGAGCGAATTCCAAGGAAGATGGGGAGATTAAAAAGAGGGACCAGCTTTAGGGGGATGAGGTTAAGGTTTGGTGGGGGTGGGGGGGTTCAGAGAGTGCTATTTTTGGAAAGTAAAGTCTTAGGGAAAGAGAAAATGGGTGGCGTAACCCTTTTCGTTAGAAGATTTTTATTAAGAGTTTGGTACTAAAAATAGAAAAAGGGCGTTTTTCTGGAGCTGTTAGCGAGGGATAGATAGGATGATGTGAGGAGGGATGGCCTGGGGTTGGGTGCTTGGGAAAGCCCTGGGGCGTGGGTTAATTTGTTTAAGAAGCATAAAGACCATTTTCCTCCTCTAATTTTGTTTTACACAATCAAATTACTCACTAACTTTAGCAAAAAATTATCATTTTCCCCCTCTTATAGCGCCGATGTAGAAATTCTTTTTACATAATGCTTTGTAGATTTATTTTATACTAAATTGGTAATAATCGAATAATAAACTTCATGTATGCATACAAAAATTAATTATAAAGTCAACAAAATCACCAATGTAAATACTTTTTTCGATTAACTAGCTTTAATGCTCTATGCTCTATGCTATATATATATATATATATATATATATATATATATATATAAGCCCTTAAGTCAAACGTCAAATTATCTTTTTACCTTTTAAAAATCTAAATACCCTTCTTATTTAAAAAACTTATAATTATAATATTTAAAAAGAAAGAAGGATAAAATTATTCTAAAGGGTTGTGTATGTTAAACATTAGTAATGAATTATTATAAAAGTGGGTACCTCAAAAGTTAAAAGTTGAATTACTAAAATACTTTTTAAATTTGTATGTATGCAATTTTATATATATATATATATATATATATATATATATATATATATACACACACAAATTACTCTAGACTGGGCTATGAAACGGCTGACGTAATTCAGTCAACCCAGGAAACTCATCACATCCTTCTTACTTTTGGGCGGTGGCAACTCTTGAATAGCTTTGATTTTTGAAGGATCCAATTCTATCCCTTTTCTGCTTATTATGAAACCCAGCAATTTTCCAGCAGGGACTCCGAACGCACATTTTACAGGGTTCAATTTCAAACTATACCTCCGCAAACGTTCGAAAAATTTCCTCAGGTCGTCCAAATATTCTGAACTTTTTCGAGACTTGATGATGACATCGTCCACATATACCTCGATCTCATTGTGGACCATGTCGTGAAAGAGGGCCGTCATGGCCCTTATGTAAGTAGCACCAACATTTTTGAGACCGAACGGCATAACTCTGTAGCCGTAAACTCCCCAAGGCGTAGTGAAGGCCGTCTTTTCTGCATCTTCTTCGTGCATCAAGATCTGGTGATACCCGGAGAAACAATCCACGAACGACTGCAGTTCATACTTCACGCAGTTGTCGATGAAGATATGAATATTTGGTGAGGGGAAATCGTCTTTCTGGCCGATTTTGTTGAGATCTCGATAATCCATACATATCCTAATATTTTCATCTTTCTTGGGTACTAGGATGATATTCACCAACCATGTGGGATAATTGGTGACCCTTACTACATTCGCCTCTATTTGCTTGGTTACTTCTTCTTTTATCCTCAAACTCATGTCAGGCTTGAACTTTCTGAGTTTTTGTTTGACTGGCGGTCTAGCGGGATCGGTAGGCAATCGATGTGAAATGATGTTAGTACTTAATCCAAGCATGTCATCATACGACCATGTAAACATCGATGTATTGTCGGAGGAGCTCGACAATTCTTCCTTCTGCTCTGCTTCTAGATGGATGCTGATTCGGATTTCTTTTACATCTTCTTCGCTTCCGAGCTTGACCACTTCTGTTTCTTCAAGGTTAGGCTGTTTCTGGCTTTCCAGTTGCTCGATCTCTTGTGGGAGATTATCTGGCATCATACTCTCATCGTATTCTTCGTAATCTGGATCGCTTTGCTCGAGGGTTTCGTTACATGTCATAATCGCAGAACGCGGGTTTTTATCATTTTGATTACTGAAAAGAAAGAACTAAGTATAAATGAAGCGATAAATAACTTTGTGATAATTTTAAGAAAGTAATTCTTTTTATAAAGAGGAACGTCTGAGCGTTCAAGAAGGAAAATGATAAAAAGGTACAGCCGCGGTTCAGGCCTCAATTGACCGTGCGCTTTTTTTCAAAAATTTTACAATTCCATACTACCAAGACTCCCGGCGAACCAAAGATTGGCTGGCGGTCCAATTTCGCATAGTGCACACGATGTTTTTTATGTATCTATGTTGAAGAAGGTGGTTGGGGACCCGTCACTCATTATTTCGGTAGAGACTATTGAGGTTAATGAAGGATTCACTTGTGAGGAGGTTCCGGTTGCCATCCTTGATAGACAAGTTCGGAAGTTAAGGAATAAAGAGATTGCCTCCGTGAAGGTGCTATGGCGAAACCAACAAGTTAAAGAGGCCACCTGGGAGGCCGAGGAAGAGATAAAGAGGAAATCCCCTCACTTGTTTGTGTAACCATATTGTTATGTTTGTAAAAATGTGTTAGGAACTTACTTTCTACGAATTATGTTCAACTTGTACAATTTATGTTAAGATTCTCCTTTTGGTAATATAATGCTTATGAGGTTATGGTTGGTGTTGTTTCCATGCTATGCTACGTCTTTGGGATATGAATATGTTATTAGGATTGGTTTCTGGGGCTCTCTGACATGTAGATAGGCCCAATTAAAAGGGAAACTCTGCCAAAATTTCTGAAACTTTGAGAGTTAGCCAAATTTTGAACCATTGAGGTGTGAGGAAAGATTTAAGTTCTGTTGGGTGTTCGGGCAGACTCTATCCCTCATTCGAGGGCGAATGATCCTAAGCGGGGGAGGATGTGAGGCCCCTCAAATTCCCTATGAGTCTGAGGCCATAAAGCACGCTCACAAGTCGCTTAAGTGTCGTCTTGCCTTCCACAAGAGATTATGGACTAGAAAAACTTACATGATCATGATATTAAATGTAGGAGGTGTATTGGAAGTTGTTTAAGGTCTAAGGAGATCCCTAGAACTAAGCCAAGTTGGGAACTATGCAATAGGCTACAATATCAAATAAATTCGCACAAGACCTGACTTCAAACATGTGCAACTCCCAGAATATAAAGAGTTAGGTGGTGATATACCTATCAAATTAAAGATATTTGAGTTTAATTTACAATTCATCAAACTGTTTGTCATTTGGATATTTCTATAGAAAATTACTGTAATTTTACAGGACAATGTCCTATCTCTACACCCAACTACACACTGAGGTTGTCAGGTGCACGGCAGCGCACATAAGAGGGGTTTTCGGCCGTGTATGCGCGCCCAGTTGCGCATTCACTTGCCCAGGTGCGCAGAAGTGCATAGGAACCCTATAAGTATCCCCAATATTGGGGAGAGAGAGTGGCTAACTCATTTCGTTGAGCTAGGGCTTGCTCTAACAAAGGGAATCCACCCTATACATCCCTCCCATGAATCAAGGTAATGCTTTTGGAGTATTTTGAAATAATTATTACTCCTAAACATCTATATTGACAAGGATTAATCTTGAAAATCTATAAATTTTCATTCAAATTCCCAAATTGGTCTATAACACTACAATTTGAGATTTTCAAGAGTTTCACTATAAGAGGTATGTCTACCATCTCTAACTAACTTATGGCGATTATTTATGTATGAAATATGTGTTAGGAAATATGTGATAGTGATTGAAAGCCATAAGTGCCTAACCTGGGTTGTGTTGGTGTTGTAGAGATTGTAAAATGGTTTAATTGATGAGATTGATTGGTTGGGAGTGAATTGTTGGCATGTATGTGCTCATGAAAGTTTTGGATGGCCAAAAAATGATTGTAAGGTGAATCATTGGTGTGGAAGGTGGTTGTTAGGTGACGAAATTCCATTGAAGGAGGTTGTAGATCAATATGCACACTAGATGTTTGACAGAAAGCCTAAATGACTTAAAGTATAAAAATCTTTCTAATGTTGGTACAATTATGTTGCATTGTTGTAGATTGAAGTTGTTTAGTATGGTGGACTATCGTAGTATTATTAAGGGGCGAATCGAGGTATGTTGGCTAAACTCTTCTTGTATAATCGAATTCCATGAATCCCGTGTAAGCCTCAAGTGTGGTTTTCCCAACCTCTTAGTTCTTATGTTCCGAGTTGTTTCCAACAATTTGAGTTATCCCTGATGAACAATGCATCGAAAGTCTATGTACTCAAAATTGTGTTCTAATTACTCATATCATATTATGCTCCCCTTAGGGAAAATGTTTCAGGCATGATTAATGTATCAAATGCTATGATTTAAATTCGAATTTCAATTGTGAATCATTATGCACTCTTTTGGGAAGAAAATTCAATGGGTTTAAGACTCTTATTACTCATGTATTTAAGGTTGTGATTTCCAAATGTTCTTTATGTTGATGATCCTTGAATATGAAAGAATGAGAGCATGAATCAGCTAGTCCATGTAGCATTGTTGTGGTCTCGTTTGGCATATCTAATTTGTTGTGGTCTGGTTTGGCATATCTCTATTCAACTTGAAGGCTTCTTAGAGTACTGATTTGGCTTGCTTAATCAGCCAGTCCCTGTAGTATGCTTTTACACAAGTTGATGGGGGAATTCCATAGACATTGGCCACCCCAGCAACATAGTCCAGCGTCATAGGTCGCACCCGAATACATAGGACAACGGCATAGGTTGTGCTCAACGATATATGCCAGTGACATAGACCATGACCAATGACTTATGCTAGTGACATAAGCAACTGTGTGATGCGTACCAATGCACCTGTCCTCGAGTTGACCATATACAAAAACCATGTTGTGCAAAAATCAAAGGAACATATGATACTTTGGAGAATATCCAACAATGCGCCATGCGTGTGATGCAAGGCACACTGCCTCAACAACTGTGTGACGCGTACCAATGCTTCTATCGAGGTGTGATCTTTGGTGGTTGAGGCAATAAATTAAAGTAGTTAAATGGAGAAAGGTTTGAAGAACCTTTATGTAGCACATTACATGCTGACATGCCCACTAGGCACCATAGGCCGACTAACAGCATTAACCTTGAAGTGCCTTGCTAAGGGCCATAGATATTGACCTCCCCCAGCGACATAGTCCAGCGGCATGGGCCACGCCCGAAGACATAGGATATCAACGTAGGTCGTGCTCAACGATATAGACCAGTGACATAGACCACGACGAATGA